AGACGCGGACTTCACTGAACAATATCAAGAATGTGCTCTCGTGTGTCTATCATTCGTACATCCTGCCTTTCAGAGTGCACAGAAACACTTGCAAGAGAACCAGTATCACGCAATGTCTGGTGAATTCGCGTAAATACACTTCGAGATGGAATCCTTCGATCGGGAAAACGCCTTTGGTATTCTTCAACAGCAGCACGTGCATTGCGACCGCAAAATCCACACACAAAATGCATATCACAATATTCCACGTGTGAAAACACAAGAGGCATTTCAGCAACTCATCACACAACTAATTTACCACCCATTCACGACCCCGCCGCAACGTAATCTGTAGGCTTTGGTAGGTTGCGCATGAGATCACGGCTAGTGTGACATCACCACACTCAAGTACAAACAGATAACAGTCACAGCTGACTGTCCACAGTGCGTGGACCTGCAAGAAGACCACACTTTTCTTGGGCCACTATCTCCGTAACCGTTCAACTTTGGACACAGGTGTTTTGGGTTATATCGGCATACTTTAACATAAGGAACACCCTCCCGAAGTTTGGTCCATTCCTCCTGGGACATCCTGTATATGTTACAGATTGTTGTTGTCATCATTATTGCTTTATTTTTGGGGTGAACATATTACTTAAGTAGACTTTCAAATCCTGCTTGCATTAAATATTGCAGAAGTAACCTCATCAGTTTCATATTCATAGATTATGCAGCTGAGAGTGAACAAAGATAGAAAATACAGTCTTCTCTCCCCTGGAAATTCTGTATTCACATGCATGCATATCTCTGAACAGGGGCAGGTGGCCATAACTTATTTCAATCACGAAAGTAAATGGATGCTAAATCACAATCTTGCCCTTATGATATACTTTTATGACATCTTTTCTCCCATATTTTTATGATATTTGCACTGTATACAAGCAGTAAAACAGTAAAATGGTAAATATACCTGTGACTTGGGAACTTTGCCTTCAAATTTGATATAAGGAGTTTTTCCACTTGTTGGTCAGTTTCTGTAACTAGATCCACTTCACAGGACTTAAATTCCACAATTTTTTTACTCCAAATTCTCTCATGTATTAACTGTAAAAAGAATAATTAATTTAAACCTCTAGAAGTTGAAACATAAGTTCTGGGAAATTATCTCTAATGTATTCATCATGACTATACTTAACTAAGAGCCAGGATAGTACAGTTGGTATAGCAACTGGCTATATGCTGGATGGCTAGAGGGTCAGAGTTCAAGTCCAGGTAGGGTCAAGAATTTTAATTTCACCATCTATTCAGACCAGTTCTGGGGAACACCCAGCCTCCTATCCAATGGGTACTGGGGGCTGTTCCCCCAGGGGTAAAGTGGCAGGGGAATGAAGCTGACCACTCACCTCCAACTAGTGCTGAGGTCAAGGCAACATGGGTGTATACATCCACTCCCCTATATGTCTTCATGGTGTAGTGCTTAATTAGTTCAACAAACAGACAACTTTACTGTACCTTACACTTTTAACTTCACTGTCTATATATCCAAAGATGGTAACTGAAGGGATGACTGAGGCAACAAACATGAGAATTTAGGGTTCAGGGAAATGCTCCAATTTATAATTGCAAAACCACATCCATATGCTGCATCGATAATTTAATTCAAAAGAAAGTCTATACGCAGCTAAGCAAATAATCTGAACAGCCTATGAATGCACAAAATATGGCCCATGTGACAACAGATCAGAGCCCATTTTTTCTCGTATCTACATTTCAGTTATGTGCCCCCACCTAAATTGCATTATTATAATTCTGATGCCAAACAAAAATGGAGGTGGGGGGGGATACTTATAATAAGACAGCTAAATGCATACTGCCTAGTTAACATTCAAAGAGAAGATATTTCATAAGCACAGAATATGCTTTCCTACATGCACGATAAAAACTGTGCATGCCAGTTCACGGTTCTGAAGTCACAGCACCTTAGTCTACTGAGTAGGCAAAATTAGTTAATCATGGGCTGGTGTACAGTAAACCAAATTTGTTTATGTAGTGGACAGAATAAACAGCCGGAATAGCTATGGGCTGAATGGCCCGAGAATTGGGGTTCGATTCTGGAGACAAAAGATTGTTTTCTTATCCAGAGTGTCCAGACCTGCGTTAGGCCCACCCAGCCTCCTATCCAATGGATACCCGGGGGTTAAGCGGCCAGAGCGCAAAGGTGATCACTCATCTATATCTAGTGCCGTGGTCACGAATACGTGGATCTACATATCCACTCCCCATACATCATGGCATAGTGATCTTAATTGGGTACAGGGATAACATTATTGCTTATTGGACAAAACAGGTCTAAATGTTTAAATTACAAAATTTGTGAACGATATGACTAATGCAACTACCTCCTTGTACGGCATTGCACAGTTGGCTATAACCTTACCGGAAACCATTAAAACACTAACAGCATTAATCTCTTCACTTAGGCAATCCGCAGTACTCTGGGAGCCACAGGTCCACCAACTTTCGAACAGTAACAGCAGAACAAAATAAGCATGACCCCTCTTGAGCAATATTACATTACAAATACTTTCATACAAATATGCTTACCTGACCCCCTTCCTTTGATAATTTCACAATAATTTCGTAACACTCGTCTAAATTTTCAGTCATACTACTTCGTATGTTAAAAAGTAACAATCACTTTAAACCGTCACTTGTATATTAAAATTATACGAATTTATATTACAATCTCAGTATACTTCCACTGATATTTATGACGTATTTCGCTTATCAAAGAACGCTGTCAGAAATATTAAACATAGGCAAGGGTTACCAACTCATCGTGTAACTTGTATTTGGACCTCTACCTATGTATTCATAATTATCTGGACAAGGGCATACTGTCAGTAATTTTTGTACTCCCAGGCTTGCTTATCTATATTTACTTTCTTCAGCTGTTTTATCGCATACACGAGAACAAACTCGGGGAAATCAATAGTAATTTCTGCTACCGGTTTTGTTGCAACCAGATTCATTGTGCTTCGCCTGATTACTATGGCGCGACTTTTAATTTAATGAGAATATGTCAGTTGAACAGCAGGTTTATGCATGAATGTCGACATTAATTTGGCCCGTCAGTGTTTTCGTCAAAGTGATAATAACACATAGACAGCACTGAGATAGAACAAATTTACTTTTCATTCCTTTTAAAAATAAGAAAGCAAGCTAAAAGCTGAAAGCAATTACAGAGAAGACACAGGCGAGTAACACGGCTAGACCATTAAAAACGATTACGAATCCCTGGTACACTGGGAAATCATCTTTGGATCACATGACTAAAATGATGCGATTTGATTCGTTCCCATTCTATCGAAAGTTAGGCCGCGCCATAGTTCAAGCGGTTAGTCGCTAGCTTCCCACCGCGGCGGCCCGGGTTCGATCCCGGGTCTGGTCAAGTGGGATTTGTGGTGGACAAAGTGGTGTTGGGGCAGGTTTTCTCCGAGTACTTCGGTTTCCCCTGCCAATCTTCATTCCACCAATTGCTCCACAATCACCCTCATCTATCGTGTGGGGCTGGTACAATAGGCCAGAAGCGGGTGCAGTATAAGGGACTTAGTCCCACCCCACTATCAATAAAAAAAAAATATCGAAATTTGGAGGATTTCTTTTTGGACGTGGAAAAGGGCAAGGTTTTTGAAAATGTTGTCAAAATAGTATAACTGAAGTTCTCTACTGTTTACAGTAGAGTCAGAAAGTTTCAAAATATCTAACAATATGCTACAGGTAAGGAAGAAGCGTTACTTTGGGTATTTATTTTTAAATATGCGATGTTACAAATTATGGCATGGATTGAGCTCCTCCCAAAGTTCCAGGTTTCACAGAGGGCCTCGTATTTTCTCTTTGGTTACTTTTTGCAACATATCAGACAAATGTTACGCAGTCGAGTCTTTAGATAAAGCGTCAGACTGTAGTGATCACCTTACCAGGCACGGAAAACAGCAGTAGGAACGATGCTAGCCCTCTCCCAAGGATATTTAAATGTTTTGCATTGCATTCATCTGCCTCCACCCATAAGACAGTTTAATGTAAGTGAAAGAGCTAAAAGTGCACTTATGGATATTGTTCTTTGTTGAAAGGAGTTCGATGGCATCCCAGTGAAGAAAGTTCAGTTACAGCTGGAGTGAAGTCCACCCATTCCCTATGCATACTGGTTGTATAGAGTTCCTGTGTGGATACTAATTTTCGAGTAAGTTCTTCACAAATTAAAAATCGAGGAATTGCATTTTCATTGAATAATGGACTTCATGAATTGGTTTCACTTGCATGAGCTGTATAGTGCATAACAGTGTTGCAAACACAAGTAGATGGACTGTAATTGAGAAGTAAGTAATGTTTACACATTTGTTGATGTTATCTTTCTGAAATGGGATGACACCACTGAAGAAGTTGTATTCTGTATGGTGGAGAACATAAGTCAGTATGGACTGAGCAAGGAGAATCCAGAAATTCTTTGCCTGCTGTTGGCATGTCGTCTGCAAGGAGTTTGGCTTCTTACCAAGGAAGGAGCATCTGAGATTTCTTCCCCTTCGCACACTTACTGTGACCCAAACATGAGGTGGCCATGTGGCAGAGGTGAGCATCATGTCATAACAGAGCCTGTTTGCTGCAAACACATATTTTATGAAGTATAGTGTGTTACTGTCGAAGGCTTTGTATGATGTCTTATTTGTTGGCACTCCTGGAGATGCACCAGTGAAGAAATAAGTGTTTGAGCTGCAGGAGGATGCACGTGGTGGCTTGGGCTCCCTCCCCTGTGGAAGAAGGACATCCAGGAAGTTCTCCTGCTCTGACTGCATACAAGCTCTGAGGAGCCCATGAAGGAAAGGTGTGGGTTGTGTCTGAACCAATGGCAATGGACAGTGCTCACTGTGGCTCCATTACTATGCAGTAAGGGAGATTTAGCTGCTTTGTTTGCACCCTGTGGAGTTGCCTCCCTGCCTCAGAGTTTGATGTAGGTGAGAGAGTTGGAAGACTCTCTGTAACAGAGCTTACTGTTTGTTCACAGGAGTTCGATGGCATCAGTGAAGACATTTCTGTTCTGGCTATGGAGGAATGTCGTTGGGTTTGGACTGAACAAGGATGCCAGAAGTCGCCCTTCACCCTCTGCATGTACCATGTACAAGATGGCCACTGACATGAAGCAGAGGAAGGACAATCAGAAGAAGCTCCACTCTGTGTGTGACTGTGCACCAGACTGCGAGGAGTTCCTGCAGAGAAGGTGTGTGTCACCTGAATCTAATTGTGGGCCCCGTTGTCTGGAAATTTACAGTCGAGGAAGGCACCTTTGTTCCTCTTATTGGAGTGGATCAACTACTTAGTGTTCGGGGTTTGAGGTTTCCCACATTTGATATTCAGCTTCAGTGATCACAAACTTGTAATCTCATTGTTAAGTTGCTTTTGTGTTGGATTTTCCTCAGTCTTGTGTCCAAATTCAGACCCCTAAATGGGTGGGATCACTGTAATTGGACATTTATTTGAAGTGAATCATTTTAATGGTTATATATATAAACAATATATATTGTTTAGTAAAACTCTGTATTTTTGGCTTTATCCTCAAAAGGTACGCCACTGACATGCATTTCAGTTCCCAATACATGATCACAAAAGTATGTCTGACTCATGCACATTGACTGTATGCAGTGGGGCTGGTGTCTAGAAATGAAACACCGTTGAGAGAATCCGAGTGACAAAACTACCTCCAGCCTACACACACACTCACAAGTAATTGTAATTGTAATTTATTTCGAGTTCCAGAAGATCCAATAAAACTGGTTACAAACCATAGGATATAGAACATGTTAAAATACAGACTAGAACATGTCAATATAAACAAAATATAAAAATACAATACAATCATAAACACAGTTAAGAAATTATTTGAGCTCAAAAGAGCATGTCACAAATATAAAACAAAAAATAAATAAATTAAATAAATAAAAGATATAAATGGCAACAAATATTATCATAAATACAATAAAACTCTTGTGCAGGAAGACTCATTAGTATAAGATAACATGCAAATTCATTTAAATCCATTATTTACAACATCATTCATTAACACTATAATACTCCTCCAAGTCATAAAAACAATGAGTAATCAAATATCTTCTTAGAGAAATCTTAAATTGCTTGTATTTCCCAACCATCCCCTTTATTTCAAGAGGCAAATTATTAAATAACTTTATACCCGTAAAATAAACACCTTTTTGATACAGTGTTAAGGTGGAAGTTGGGAGATATAAATTACTTCTCTGTCTTGTCTGGAGATTATGTGCATCATGGTTAGTAGTGAACAGTTTACTATTCTTTGATACAAAGAGCAAAACTGAATAAATATATTGAGACTTCAATGGTAAGATTCCTAGCTGCCTAAAAAGATTTCTGCATGAATGCCTATTACTATATCCTGTCATTAAACGAACTGCTTTTTTTTGTATCAAAAAGAGTTTCTTGGTATTAGTTGCTTGCCCCCAAAATATAATTCCATAAGATAGTATAGAATGAAACAGAGAATGATATATCTTCACTAATGATGAGCCTGACATATAAGGTCTGACAGATATTATCATAAAGCAAACTGTAGCTAGTTTGTTAATAACTGAATCAATATGTATATTCCAAGAGAGGATGTTATCAACTTCCAGACCGAGAAATTTGAGATGAGAGGCTTCCACTAAATCACTAATATCATAGGAATTGGAGGCCTTGGTTGGAACAGAGTTTTTGGTTATAAATTGCATTGTAAAAGTCTTCAACAAATTGATTGATAACAAATTAGATTTAAACCATTTATCTATGTTTATAAGGCTTGCATTAAGTTTTGCTTCCATAATATCGGGACTCTTATCCATGACTATGAGGCTAGTATCATCAGCGAACAAGACAGATAGAGCAGTATCAACAGTATTCTAAATACTTTCACCGATTCATTCCTCTTTTGTGAAATGTTCTAAATATCAGACACAAAATGTGTTTCATAAGGAATGAACAAACTTCCAAACTATATTAAAAATGTTCTCAACCTATTACAAAACNTTACTGTGGCACTTCTCTGTGACCTACTGTAGCTCTGACTGCCTAAGTGACAACAGACGTTTCTCATTGCTGTGTGATCTGAATTTGCACTTCCTTCTCAAGTTCAGTCTACTGTGGGTGAATGAACCATGCAACAAAATGTATTTGTTCTTCCAAACATCAACTGGAGAAACATTATCTTGTACAGACTAAAACCATCATACCTTAGGACACTTTTTTGCAAATCCAGTGGCACATAACTTTGAAGGTGTTTGTAATTATGGCTTAGTTTTCCAGCCCATAGTAAACTCTCTGATTACTAAAATCTTACCTTCAGACACTTCTTAGCCATGTGTTGAACCTTGATGGAAATGGTGCAACACACAGGGTCCCCTTAGAGTTTTCGCAGTTGTATCTTGTTTCACTCCGTTTGCCGTTTTTGTAGCATACAGCACAGTGCCGACATGGATTTTGCTTTGCACTGTGGCAGCAGTGTAGGAGGGAAAATGAGGAACGTTCATCTTTTTGGTGGTCTGCCTAATGGTCCGTCTTCTGTTATATGATGTTTTGAAATTCTAGTTTTTATCAGTTTCACTTGAAATTACCTCCTGGAAATGCTGGTGTCTTTTTTCTTGTGTAAAGTGAATATGAATTCAAAGAGCAGATATCAATCAAATGGCAGAAGTGCTTTTGATAGTATTTTTTTAGTGTTTTCCTTGTGAAGTGATAGCTTGTCAAGTAAGCATCACTGCGGTCCA